TAACAGAGTTGCATAAAGGAAACAGTTGATTTACTACTTTCTTAAGGAACCAGAGATGCAAAAGGCCCACTTTCAACTAACTTGCTTTCTAACATGGAGTAACACAGCAGTCTAGCATAAACTTAAAAATTACTTTGTACGAATTACTTTCTTAATTCTTAATACTTTGTACTATTTAAAGTTTTACAATTACCAAACACAACTTATTCCAATAGTGCTACAACTTATCCAATAATACTCTGTATAAAAACGATGTTTATAAGTTTATAGTGAGTTGAATCAAACAAAGTAGCAAATGAACATACAAAGTAAATATTTATTTATTGTAACATCTGTAAGTATATGATCATATAATTTTTTTTTAAAGAAGTGTGTTAAAACAGGTAAAAAGTTCAATGTTACAAATAGATATATGATCATGCAAATTTGAGTATGTAGTTTTATTTTATGGATTGCTTTCTGTACTTGAATTTTATGGTATATAAGTTTAACTTTTGGTAACTTGAATTTTATGGTATATAAGTTTAACTTTTGGTAAATTAATAAGTGACGATTGAATTTCACTATCTTAAAATAAAATTTGGTGATGAAAAGATACGAGTACATTGGGTTGAAAACGTGAGACTTCAACTTGTGTATGCATCAATGTAGAAGGTGGATGATTGAGAGAATGAAAATAAAAGGCACTGAGGAAGACCCAAAATAATTTTGATGGAAAGAGTAAAAGTTGACAAGAAAAAGTGAGCATTATTGCAATTTGCAAGAGCAATGGATTAGCTAGATTATTGGTTCATATAGCCAATAACATCCATATGAGTATAAAGCTTTAAAATTTTCTTCTTGTACTATTATTGTTGAATTGACTTTAAAGAGTATGATTTATTTTTATTGCCTATTATATACTTGTAATTTCTTTGTTTATTTCTTCTTATATGACATGTTTTGACCTTGAAAAGTATTAAAATAAATTTCTTAATAGAAATTGGAGATATTATTTTGAAAAAAATTCACGCATTGCACCTAAAGAAATGTATGTTCAATTAGGTATATTTTATAAAATAAATACATGTATGTATCAATTAAAAAGAAATTAATGAATTAAATAATATTGCTGATAATAGAACGTGTTAGAAAGCTATTAATGACTTGATACAATTATTATTGCCTTAAAAATGACTATCAAAGTCTCACGTAATCACTAAGATATATAAATCAGAAATATTAAGATACACATTAATGATATCACACGCCCAATATTAATAAAAGGGTACTCTGTACTATAATAATCAAGATATCAAGGGATTCCATACCATAATAACCAATAGACTTGCGAAATCTGATATAATTGTAGTTAGTAATAATTTCTATAGTTATAAGTCCTTTTAAAAAAATATAGATCAAAACATAGTTATGTCAAATCCCGTTAGATTTATGACACTTATCCCTTATTTTTAATTTTAATAAATATTAAAAAAGACTAAAACTTGATTGGTAATCTAAGAACTTATTTTTACTTGAAAGTAAAAACTTATAAAAATAAAGAGAATAGACATAACTTGAATACCTCCAAATTCCCACTTCTTTAATCCTCTTCTTCCCCCTTTCTCTCTCTCTCTCTCTCTCTCCCTCTTTAAAATTCAGCTCCCACCTGTTTCCCACACTCCTTACTTTCTTCCCCATTTTACTCCAAAAAAAAAAAGAAAAAAAAAAGCTGCTTAAATAATGCTTGTTAATAGGTGAAAAACACATAAATCTGGGATATTTTTGGTGGGAAAATAAAAATCTGAAATGGGTACTCAGATTTTTGTAATGGGTATGTGTATTTTGGTGTATTTTCTGAGCTTAAACTTAGTTTTAGTGAGTTCAAGCTCAGTTTTAGGAAGAAAGAGTGAAAAAGGAACATTTTTTATTGATGGAAGAAATGCCATTGGTAATATTGATGAAGATTTTATTTGTGCTACTTTAGATTGGTGGCCTCCTGAGAAATGTGATTATGGTACTTGTGCTTGGGATCATGCTTCTCTCCTTAATCTGGTAATTTTTCTTTGCAACTCTTTTGTTGAATATCAATATATGAACTTTGAGCTTGTTTTTTTGTTGAAAATTTTGTTCTATTTGTATTACATTGTGATTCAGCAGGATTTTTACTATATAATCTGTTAGTATATGGGTGAAGAAATAGCCTTGGTTGTACCATGTTCAAGGCACAACTGGTTGTAAATTAAAAATTGAAAATTGTGGAGTTTTTAGTATATTTATCTTGAATTTTTGTTTGAAAATTATGTTTTCAAGTGAGTAAAAAAACTTACAGTACTAATTTTTTGGCTAGAATATTTTATTTTTGATCTGTTTTTACATTTATTATGCACATTCTTGAAATTTATGTTGGTTTATGAATTTTATGTGCAGGATCTCAGCAATCAAATATTTTTAAAAGCAATACAAGGTGTGTAATATACTATCTTAACTTATGTTGAGTAATTTCGACAATTGCGATTACTGTGTTAATCAGACTTTGACAATCAGGGTGGGACATGAGTGTGTGTATGTTTAAGTGTTTGACTCGGCTATTTGATGCATTTTATAAGCATGTTTTTGGCTCAAAATGGTGTCAAGTGTTCATATGATTTGTATTGGATGGTCAAGTGTTTAGCATGGTGTCATGTGTTTTTACATATAAAGTTGTATAGATGAAATTCCTTACTTAAAAATGTTAATAATGCAGCCTTTTCGCCTTTGAAGATTAGGCTTGGTGGTACTTTGCAAGATAAAGTGATTTATGAAAGCAAAGATTCTAAATTACCATGTAATCAGTTTAGCAATAGAAGCACAGAAATGTTTGGTTTTACTCCTGGATGCTTACCAATGAAGCGATGGGATGAACTAAACGCCTTCTTCGAAAAAGCAGGGTAAATTAAAATAAAAATCCTGTTTCATATGCTCACTTGTAAATGCACCGTGATTAACAGTTTTGATTGTTAGTTAAGCATTTTTTATCACACTTAATTGAACTTTCTTCGTTCGTTTTCAGGGCATTGATTGTTTTTGGTTTAAATGCTCTTGCTGGAAGAACTATTCAGTCTGATGGCTCAGCTACTGGTGCTTGGGATCCTTCAAATGCCAAATCTCTTGTTCGTTATACAGTTGAAAAGGGCTATGATATTCATGGCTGGGAGCTAGGTGATCCACATATTTCAACTTGTATATATTCCAAATGTTATAATATTGCAAGTTAGTGAATTTGTGTATTATGTTCTTTGAGTTTTAATATCCTTCTGTCTGGCAGGAAATGAGCTAAGTGGAAGCGGAGTTGGAACTCGAGTTTCAGCAGCTCAGTATGCATCTGATCTGATATCTCTGAAAAACATGCTGGAAGAAGTTTACAAGGCGAACAATTCTAAGCCTCTTGTCATAGCACCTGGAGGTTTCTTTGATCAAAACTGGTTTACAGAATTCATTAATAAAACACACAACAACCTTGATGTTATGACACACCATATATACAACCTAGGGCCAGGTATTTCACATATCATCAATCTGTTTATACAATCATTGTTTCCTAAGATCATAGGACAGAAACTGAATTCATTGCATTTTGATGAATTTGTAGGAGTTGATACACACCTTATTGATAAGATCCTCGATCCATCATATCTCGATGGAGAGGCTGATACATTTAGAAGGCTACAGAACATTCTCAGGAGTTCTGGGACTTCTGCAGTTTCATGGGTCGGGGAAGCAGGAGGTGCTTATAACAGCGGTCATAACCATGTTACTAATGCATTCGTGTTCAGTTTCTGGTATGTAATCGTTAAATACTGCATACACCAGTTCTTTGTTTGTGAGATTTTCCTATGCTTACAGAAAAACCTGATAGATTTGATGTTTAAAAACAGGTATTTAGATCAGCTTGGAATGTCATCAACTTTTGATACGAAAACATATTGTAGACAAACTCTGATTGGAGGAAACTACGGCTTGCTCAACACCACTACCTTTGTTCCTAATCCCGACTATTACAGGTTTGTGTGTTTAAAAACAGAACATTACAAAGTTCCAAGATAAGGTAAAAACTCTAATTTGATGGTTGTTTTTTTTTTCTTTTTCTTTCTGCAGTGCCCTTTTGTGGCATAAACTGATGGGAAGAAATGTGCTATCAACAAGTTTTTCCGGGACTAAGAAAATCCGAACATATGCTCATTGTTCAAAAGTATCTGTAAGTTAAAACTCTTACAAAAATCAATTTCATGAAAGATCAACAGTTCAACACCATTTACCTTACAAATGGATGATTAAGTGATGTTTTTCTCTTATCTGCAGCAAGGCGTAATGCTGCTGTTTATCAACCTAGATGGAAATACAACCGTTGAAGCGAATGTAGGCTTCAATGGAACTTGGAGTCTTCTAAACAAGCATCCACATATCCACAAGAATAGAGCGATTAAGTGGCATCAGAAAGAAGCAACAGAAAGAGTAAGAGCCGAGTATCATTTGACAGCAAAAGATGGCGACTTGCAGAGCCAAACAATGCTTCTTAATGGAGAGGTTTTGGGTGTGAGTTCATCAGGAGAAATACCTTCCTTAACTCCTTTACATGTTAACTCATCAGAGCCAATAGTTGTAGGACCTTTCTCGATTGTATTCGTTCACATGCCTTACATCATTCTTCCTGCTTGCAAATAAAAAGGTGGAACCAGAATGGTGTTCATCTTGTAATAATTGGTTTATCATAAAATTCATAAACAAGTTTTTTAAGGTATTAGGAATAGTCTTAGTGGTGAAATCGAAATGGATTTCATCTGCTTCTGTTCTTGCATAGGTCATAAAACTTTGACCTATGGTCTATTGATTGTGCTTAGATTTTAATAAATCATAGCATCAAAATTTTATCAAAAACTATGCCTGTGTTATGCCCTTTTGAAGCAATTTCAAGTACTACTGCAAAAATTGATTATCTCTTAATGCAGAGGCATGTATAATTTTGACCTATAAATAGGAATGGTATTAAGTTCAGTTCTTAACAAAGTATCTAATCCATTGGGAAGATGTAGATGATGACCATGATGTTATCTTTCGAGGATGACAGATGAACATTAGACGCTATATAACATAGCAGTCAGTCACTCTTTGCAAACTCAGAAACAAATGCTAGAAAAGTTTTGGGCATCACATATATGAATGATAGATTTCCTAGGTACTAGCAAGTAGCAAGTGCTAAACAAGTACTTAATACATCCTCACAACACTAACATATGGTCAGCAAACTTAGATGTAAATGATACTCCTAGATCAGAACATATCAATACCATCATCACTATCATCGCTGTCAAATTCATACTTAGCCATCATCTTATCCATATCCTCGCAATACCCACATCTTATTACATATGAAGGATGGTAAACCGATGAACCAATACCAACACCATTGGGGCGAAATTCATCAGAAGAAAGATGCACAAGAAAGCTATTTTAGTCCTTAAGACATGTTACAATCTAATAACAAAGAGAAAGGGTTAGCCAAGTTTAGATTACAGCTGAACTAAGTTTTAATAAGGTTTAATAAGTTCCGAGGATATATACCCTTAGAAACTTACCAAAAGTAATCGGACTAGGATTCAGGATACAACACTCAATCTCATCTTCTTCATATGAAGGAGAAGATAAAAGATCGGCATAAAACAGCACCGGAGAAGAATGACCGTCTTTTTTACGAGCAAAGAAGTTCATATGAAAACCCAAAGCATAGTGCTGTGCCTTAGCCATATATGGACTTTGGGAAACAATCTTTACACACTCATAATCAGCATCATCCTAAATACATCTGAAATTAAAAGAATATATATCACTAATACAAATATGCAAAAACAACTGAGAAAAGATAAAGAAAATAAAACCTTGTGATTTGAATTATAATAGTCCAGCGCCACTTGAGCCCTTTCACGAGTAATTTCATTATAATCCATGTCTTTTGTATACCTGCCAATCATCGAAGTATCATCGAATAACGATCAATAATTTTATTTTTTTTTCAACACGTAATGTAATCAATGGTATATGGTCAAAGGTATGCACGCATTAATGAGCATAAAAGTTAATCGTTTGTGATTAAAACATAAACATGGGATTATGGGAACTTAACTATCTATTAAAACATCGTTAGCTAAAACATACTCCGTACCTTTTAGATTCTGGTTTATCAGGACGAATAAAATTGACACTGAAAATACACAAATGAAAATTTAAAGATAATTTTCCATATATAAAATTTCAACTTTTCCATGTTATATTATAAATTAAAACTGAATATTTAGAATAATTCCAAGATTAGCAAAAATTATTCCAAGATTAACATTATGCACTCGAGAAAATAACACAAGATACGAACTTATTGTGAAGGCTGAAGGGTGTACGACACTTTCCTTTAAAGAAGACCATGCATCCATTAGAGCATCTCTGAAAAAAGATTAATTTAACCGATAAAATTTAGGTAATTTATTTTCCACATTAAAATTTGATATGATCATATGAGAGGAAAAAACTAAAATAAAATTGAAAGTAAATTAATTTAAAGGAGAAAGAAGAGAGGTAGAAGATTTACGGTCCATCAAGGGCGTCAAATGCAGGAGGGGTTTTCACAATCTCCATCATTAGCATTATATTTGTGAATTTTGTGATAAAAAAGCTTAGGAAAATTTGTAATTATTAATCTCAATTTTGGGCGAACTATTGATTATTTTTAAATAATCCCAACTTTGGGGGCGTCTTCTTTTATCAGGCCAAAACCGGTTAACGAAAGTCAATCACCTGTTATACCAGGTTATTGGACACGTGTCAACACTTAATTTGTCAAAAAAAAAATCAAAGTTTAAAAAAAAAATCAAAAAATAAAAAAAAAAACTGTCCCTTCCCACGCAGCCCCACCACCTCCTCCCTAGCAGCCACCCAAAACCACCATCTCTCTCCCGAACCCCACCGAAAACCACCGAAACCCAGCCGAAAACCACCAAACCCCACCGAAAACCATCGAAAGCCCCCACACAACCACTGAAAGCCCCACGCAACCACTGAAAGCCCAAGTTCTTAGCCCATGAAACCCCAAAACCCAGCCACCGAAAACGAGAAACAGAGGGAGGGGGAATCAGCGGCGAAAACGAGAAACAGAGGGAGGGGGAGGGGGAATCCGCGGCGAAAGGGGGTCGAGGTTTGCGCGAGTCGGTTGTAATGGGGGTCGGGGAATCGCGCTGCTGGTGGTAATGGGGGTCGACGTTCGCGCGAGATGGTGGTTGTAGGGGTCGCGATTGGTGCGGGTGGTGGTTTTGGGTGGTTGTTGTGATTCCGGTGGGTGGTTGAGGGGTATTGGCTGGTGGCCGTGGTGGGTGGTTGAGGGGTATTGGCTGGGTTTTCTTTTTTTTTTTCTTTTTTTTTTAATTTTTTTTTGTTTTAAATTTCTATTTTTTTACCAATGAAATTGCGACATGTGGCATTTAAGGAAAAAAATAAAAAAAAATAACCTGTTAAACAGGTCACCGGTCATTTGACCTGATAAAAGAAGACGCCTTCCAAAGTTGGGATTATTTAAAAATAATCGAAAGTTGGGATTAATGAAAAGAAATCGCCCAAAGTTGGGATTAATAATTACAAATTTTCCAAGCGCTTAACTTACTAAGGTTTATATAAAGGTTTTGTGAATTTTAATCAAGCACTCTCCAAATATATAAAGGTTTTGAGGATTTAAAATCAATTTAATATTGTTGTAGAAAAATTAGCCGCAACAACACCAACTATGATAAAGGTGCGTGTAGCAGCACAATCTTTTAAGGGTGCAGTCTACATCATAAACTTTATAATTGGGTGCACATATTAGCATAAATGACACTAATGAAGAAAGGTTCCATAGAAAAAAGTGAAATCTTATTATTTTATATAATTGTTTAAACATTATTTAAACTTATATGATTTTCCATTACGCGTGACTAAATTTGCCTTATCTTCTATTTATTTTTTTCATTTAAGCATTTCTTAACCTCCACCATTTTATTAAGCGGATTCCTTCGAAAAAAATTGTGCTATTATTTTCCTTTGTTCGCTTCTCCAATTACTTTTTTTTAATATCGATCTCACATGATTGACTTAGTTTCCTTTCCCTTTCCACTTAATTAAATACTAAATTGATAAATTTTTTTAAAAAAAAAACATTTGAATACCTTTATTCTATAAGATTTCAAGATACATAGGTAACTTTCTAATACCAAACCCCACAAAATGATTTAAAATACTTAATTCAAAAAATAATTTTAGAATTGGATTTTTGGATATACCAAATTGATTTTCGTATTTTTGATGTACAACACACTTAAATTGTGGAGGTTGAGGTAGAATAATTCAAAGGGAAAAAAGTAATTATAATGGAAAAGAAACTAAGTCAATTATCACATGAGATGTAAAAAAAAGTAATTAAAGAAACAAATGATAGAAAATAATGGCAAATTTTTTTTGAAATAATTCAATTTAATGGTGACTTAATTACATGAGATGGAAAATTAAGTAGCATGGAATTAAACAAAAATATTTTTAAACAAAAAAAAAACATTAAAAGTATTTAAGATTTCACTTTCATACGAAATCTAAATTTTGCCAATGTCATTTGTGTTGTTATGTGCACCCAAGTACACAGTTTGTGATGTTGAGTGCACCCTCGAAAGGTTGTGTTGCTACACGCAACTTTATCATAGTTGGTGCTGTTACGACCAATTTTTCCTTTTTATTAACAGTAATTATTAATGTGTAAAGTATAATAGAGGATCTCTAAGCGATTTTCTAATGAAACTTAGTGTTAGGTTTAGAGAAAATTTGTTTGTGAAAAAAGAAATTTGTTTAAATAGCATGCATATTGTTATGAGACTATGACACATGATAATTTATACTTCTTTTGTGTTTTTTTTTAGTTGTAACAATTCTCTTTTCACGTTTGGCGATGCATGTTTTCAATCGTTAATATTTTTAATTATCAATATGTTAAAATTATAAAAATTTGATATTAAAATTGTATAAACCGAGACGAATCTAACAAGATCACACATGACTATATTTTTACTTAAGTATAAACACATAAATAGTGTAAAAGTCAAACTGAGAAAGTACTTTGTAACAAATAGGAAGTCCTAACACCAATACTACAGTAAAATTTTTGGGATGGTAATGGCAAATTAATTTTAGGTATTTTAATGGATGATTATTTACAATTTTTTCCTCATTTTAATCCTTTATCGAATTTTTTGGGGTTGAACAAGTTGAGAACACTTTAATTTGTCACTTCTTCCATGGGTGTGGGTCTCTAAAATATCACAACCTTGTATCAAATTTTGCGTGGTAATCTAACATCCTCTGAATTTTCTCTCTTCCTAAAAGGGCAAATAAACGAGTTTTTTACTCAAACTTTGGAATTTTAGACCATTTTTGAACTTCACTGTCTTATGAATTTGATTTTAGAGCTGAAAGAAAGCTTTAAACGTGGGTAATAATGGCGAATTTCACCATTAAACTTCATAAAGCTTGCAACTTTACTACTCAAAAACCAAGAAACAAAAATTACCAAATACCAATTCTTGTTCAACACCCTCAGAATTTCTTACACCAATTTCCCACAAAAACCCATTTGAAATTGAGATTGTTTCCTAGTTTTAAGAATAGAGAAATTGAATGTTTGGGCAAAAGGGTATGCAGTACTATCACTAGATTAAGAGTAGAGGATGATGTTGATCAATCACTACCATTGGTTGATGAAATTGAGCACAATAGCAGTGAGAAGGAGGAGGGTGTTGAATGGAATTGGCCACCTTGGAAGAAATTGCCTCAAAGATATAAGCTCATTGGCACCACTTCCTTAGCTTTTGTCATTTGTAATATGGATAAGGTACTAAAATTTTTGGGTAATTTTTTATTGATTGATTGATTTTGTTTTTGTTGTTGTTATGCAATTCAAGTTATTTGGGTATATAGGGTTGTTTTTGTGTGTGTTAAGGTTATTATTCTTAGTAGCAAGTGGGTTTTGTTGGAAATTTGAGGTTTTGGGTTTGCCATAATGTTATTTGTCATTGCATTTCATTTAATTTTTATTTTAATGGTAGCAATTAAACCTGTACTGGTTGTATGATGTACTCCCTAAAGAACATACAATTCAAAGTTAAAGAACATATCAACCAAAATCTCATCTTCATTCATAGATTGTTCCTGCTGATATCAGTGGCAATGTGGCAGTAAGTACTAAGTAGTTTATACAAAAAATTCTGTTGTTATGGTGGTTAATAATCATTTGATGGAAGGGATTGTGTATAATTGATTATACTAGTTTAGTGAATTGTGTGTTTTATGAGTATCGCGAAATTGGTTTTTGAAAGCATTTTATGTCATATGTGCTGATGTGCATCTGTTTTTTTGTACCAGACTGAATACTTACATTTAGAATAATCTGATGTCAATAGGTGAACTTGAGTGTGGCTATAATTCCAATGTCACACCAGTTTGGGTGGAATTCATCAGTGGCTGGATTGGTGCAATCATCTTTCTTTTGGGGTTACGCACTGAGTCAGTTGCCAGGAGGATGGCTTGCAAAAATATATGGAGGCAGGTTGGTAATAGCTTACTATGGAGTATGGAAAATGGAAGGCTGAAAATGCCAATTAATATGTGATCTTTGCATAACAAATAGTGGCATTATTTTTGGCTTTCATTGGTCGGATAATTGGCAACCTTAGTCACATGTACAACAAAGCTGATTTGCTAATTCTTTAATCTACGGTAGTCTGGGAAGATCAGAGTCTTTTTATATGAAAATTTGATCTTTTATTTCTCCGGCGTACTTTGGTTATTAGTCCGCTTGAGATTTATGTTTCACTTTATTCTTGCACAACAAAGGGAGAGCCTTCTTGCTTTACTGGTTAATTCCTTATTCACTTTGAACTCTGAAAAAAAAAAGATGTTGCTTACTTTTTAAATACAAAGTAGCTCATAAGAGTTAGAGGTTGGACATGTGCACAACAAGCCCTAGTTACATGATGGATTTTCATATGCTGAGGGGGATTTGGTTGATCTGGTGGTAGTGTAACCCAAAAAAAAAAAGTACATATTGCATGATAAATTAATAGTATAAAATTTTCTCTCAATTGTCAAAGATTATGCATCCACGTAGACGACTATCTTTTTTCGTCGATTCTTTTTAATTACTGGTTATTTCACCCTCTTTCCAGGGTTAAAACATGCTACTTGTGTCGCCATGATTCTCTGGGTAAGTCTCCCTAAGTTGAGTATAGTCCTTTATGTAAACATTCCCATTAGTTTGTACACTTATTCAAAATGAACATTAAAGATTTTGAGCCTATTTGATTGTTTCTATTGCACCAACTAGGCAACTACCTGTTTAGATCTAAACTTTCATTGTACTAGAGATATTTACTACTTGATGATTAGACACCATAATGCTTTCGAGGAACTTAGCATAAGATAGTGGAATCTTCTCTCACAGATGATTTTTATGGTATCTTTTTCTTGCTAAATGTTGGAAAAGGGTATAGGTTGTGTATCCAATAACATTCATTATCCCCTATAGAAAAGAAGATCTTCTTGTAAGCATTTTTGTCTTTCACGCATCAAGTTGTGAAGATTAATGAGTCATTGTGTGACTGTTGCTACTATCAAACAATTGAGCAGCCTGCTGTGTAATTGTGGTTTTAATCGTTTTATTGTTTTTATCCACACTATTATCTTATGCATCTAATATTTGGTTAACTTACTACGACCTTGTCCCTGAATTTTAAAATAGATTTTGGTTATCAATGTCAATTTTGCCATTGGGAAAAATGAATATATGAGTATATGACTGCTTGCAGTAGGCCAGTAGCTCTTTGTAATTGTAACCAATAAACTAGCTGGCATTTCTTAAAGTAAAGGATCAACTACCATTGTGCAAATGAGAACTTTCCTTACCCTATTTGAATTGAGATATAACAGAATCTCTGCATCTCTAATAAATATAAATTGGACGCACCTTCATATTTATTGTTGTGCTTGAACAATTATATAATGCATAATGGTTGTGAAGTTTGAGCATGAAAAGCTTATAGGTAACAAGGTCATTGGTTTATGTATTAGTAAGCTATCTTGTATGTGTTCAGTATGTGATGAACCAACAATGAGAGACAATTTGCAGACTCAGAAAAAAGAGGGGACAATTGCAATTAACATTCCACTAGGAGAGGAGGCAACATGAAATAGCAGACCTGAGATACTCCAACATAGTGGGGCCAAAATACATTAATGTTAGGGTAGTGCTTGAGTATATAAGAGAAGTAGGGTAGCAGTAGAGGAAGTTAGGCAGAAAATTAAGTGATATTTTGAATGTGAGATTAGTAGCCTCAACCTACCATTGAGAGTTATAGCCTAAAGCTATATATATCTTTGTAACCTTTTGCTACTTTCAATAAAAAAAACTCAAGCTTTCTTATTAATCTTACAATTTATTACAGTATTTACAGCACCCATACTTAGTCTATAACACAATATCCTCTTGTTGTTTTCTGAAGACATACTTATATACCCATCTAACGAACCTGACAGTGTAGAAATATATAGAATTTGAAGGGGAGGGGGGTATTAGAGAACTAAAAGCTGTCTGTCTTAGTTGATGCATGAATCCTGGAAATATCAGTTTATTGCATCCTCTACATAATGTATCCATGAAACCTGAGTTACAGCATTTTTTTTATTTACATTTGACTGATCCAGTGATTGTTTCCTAGTTATTGTTCTCTCATTCTTGTGATTCTTTACACTCTTTCTACACATGTGGGGTCTCTAATATCGAGATCCATGTGGCATTTTGTTCTCATGTATGATGTATGTACGTCTAAATACAGGCAAGTTCTTGCATTTGGAGTCTTGACTTGGTCGTTGGCTACAGCATTCATTCCTGTTCTAGCTGGATACATGCCAGGACTAGTTTTGTCTAGAATATTGGTATGGTAATTACTTGATTTCCTCATTCCCGTTCTAGCTGGATACATATTGTCACTCTTAACATTTTCATTTGTTTTGTTAATAATCTTTGAGCTACCTCATTGATTTTCAATTGAGTTCAACTTGTATTATACTCAATATTAAGTGGTTAATTATTGAGCATGTAATTGCATTGTAATTCAGGTTGGAATAGGTGAAGGTGTTTCACCATCGGCTGCCACAGATCTGATTGCCAGGTATATTTATTGTAAGAAAGTAGCTTAATATGGTATGAATTAAATTATCCTGTTGTTATTTGACATCAATTTAAAATCATGAAACCTTTCTAGTTAATCATGTCTTGTAAAGGTTTCTACTTTATTTTTATTTTTGGTTTTTTGTTTTTTAATTAGTGATATGCCATCAACTGATTGTGGTTCAATAGCTAGCAGGTTTTTCATTTTCTATGTGATTTTGTGCTGGTCATTTTCTCAATATTAAACTATAACATGTCATATCCAAAGCGCCCCGCAACACTACTTCTAAGGAAAAAAAAAAAAAGGGGGTGAAAGTTTTTGTTGAAATACACTCAATTCATGGAGCTAGTGATATCTTAAAGTAAATCCAAGTGGTATCATAAATATTTTGGCAGATTCTTTGTAATTCCTTGTCCATGACTATGCATCTTTAAATTCAGTGTGGTTGGCTAGATATGCTTGGTTTGCTTTCAAAATTAGATAGGTAACTTAGGTCATTAGTCATTACATCATTTGAGTCCAATTGTGCTGCTCCCTATCTGAATTTTATGAAATTGTTTGCTTGATGTTTGTCAGGATTATGCTCTATGCAATGTATTGTGTATTAGAAATTTTCTGTGGCTGCTACATGTATAATTAGCTCTGTATGCATTTTCTCAAGGTCTAATTTCTGTTAGAAGGCAACAAATCCAACAATGTTAGCTAATATCTTTCTTCCTGGTATTTTTCCCTCGGTGGTTATGCAGATCCATACCTGTGGAGGAGAGATCACGAGCTGTTGCATTTGTTTTCGGTGGACTAAGTGTAGGAAGTGTAGCCGGGTATTGCCTTATATATTTTTTCTTATTGTTTTTCTGTAATTGGAGTAGGTAGACTTAAGATTCATGACTCTGTCTTACATTGTGCTTTACGATCTATGTTACTCGGACTCGGGTACCCATGTCCGACACGGGTACGTGTCCAAGTGTCCGACTCGGCTATTTTGTGAAAAAATTCGATGATTTTCAACTAAAATGAAGTGTCCATGTGTCATACCTATGTATGAGGCTTGAGGGTCCGACAAGGGTACTTGAGGTAAAATGAAGAGTCCGAGTAACATAGTTCACGAGTGTAATTGTTCCTTTTACTTATTCTCAGAGTAATTGATCAAAAAGGAAAACCTGTAAATGCAGGATAATTGATTCATAAATTGATAAATGTAAATGGTGCAAGATTACTGTTTTTTTTTTTCATCTGCTATTGCATAGGAAAGAAAGCATGGTACTGTGATGAGTGTCAAAGATATAACAAAAGAAGGCAACAAACTTGTGTCAACATTGGCTGTGTGACTCTGTATTATAATATAGTTTTCCAATAATACTTTCTGTGTTTGATTTTTCTTCAGGCTTCTCTTGGCTCCTCCACTTATTCAAAATTTTGGCTGGGAATCTGTATTTTACCTATTTGGTCTATTAGGAGTAACTTGGTGAGCTCTTGTAATTTTTATGCTACACTGTGTGCTCCTTTTTAAATAAGTTCTAGCTCCGGTAATTTTATGCTACACTTTGTGCTCCTTTTAATTAAATTCTGTGACATCCGCTGCAAAATTATGAATCACTCAAGTGTTTGAATACCAATTTTCCATGTTGCATAATCATTTTTTCCGTTGTCAAACCATCTTACTAGAGTATCTACTAGGTTCATACATCTAATGTGTTCAGAGTTCAGACCTGCTTGTGTTGGGATTTATGTCATGATTTGTTCTTATTGTTGAAACATTCAAGTGTTTGCTCTATTGCACGTGCATTGCTCAGCTTTTACCGTTAATATTGATTCTCCTATATGTAAAGAGGGGAAAAAACTTCTCACTTATCAACTTCATTTGAAATATCCGGTAATCTTTATTTTCTGGTTAAAGATGTAGATATCTGGCTTGTGAAGAGTTAACTGGTACAGCTATTTGATATGTTTATGGGAGTCAGTAACTTATGGAGTTATGGGTTTTTAAATGATTTTGATACAATAAACAATCAAGTTGTATGTACTACCTGTTAGCTTGCTGGATATTCAACATGGGCTTCTTTTTCCATGTGAAAGTAGTTTGATTGTTCTATTTTGCACATACTCTTAAGATTCTTGCTTGGATTTTCATAGCAGTACAATTTCACTTGCCAATGTCAAACTTGACTGAAGTATAACTTTTATACCCAAAAAAATTACTTGAAGGTTTTTGGGATTTCAGTATATTGAAGGAGGAGAGACTAAGTCAGCTGCTTCCACTATTCCTAGTAAGCTACGATTATTCTCTCCCTTTTTCACACCCTGTTTGTTTTCAAAACCTTTGTTTTCAAATGTAACTGCATTTTCTTACAAATGGTAACTAACATCAAGTAATTCTTTCCTTATTATTTTCTGCTTTATCCTCCTTCAGTAGCGAACGTTAATAATTATATTTGTATATCGTCTTGACAATATCCTTGTGTGCTGGGATACTTTTTTCTGAAACTGGCTTGAAACTCTGTGGAGTGGTCTGATGATAACCTGAGGCCTGTAAGTGCCAAGTTAAAGGTGCATCATGCATGTTATGTTACCAATAAAATAATAATCCAGGTGTAGTACTGTATATGTGCTAAGCCTCTAGCGCATGTATAAGAAGAATTAGGAAGCCTATGAATTTTCTCCTTGTTTTGAAATTGACTTACATCTGTCATGCATACATATTGGTATGTTTTTGTCTACATTAATGTGTTACTTATTCACCCTAAGCCTCCATGCCGGACTCTAAAAATAAGCCTTGGTGACCTTTTTCTGAAAAAAATCATGCAAAGGTTTTGGAAAATGAAAATGTCAAATTCCTTAAATTTATATTGTGCTGGCACCTGTAGCCAAGTCTTTGTAACAAATCTACGTGCCACACTGATTCTGGATAACACCCTGAGGGCATGGATATAAACTAATCGATATGTAAATTCGTATGTTATATATTGAATTGATTATTGCTATTCTTTCTAATAGTATTTCTTTTCATTATAGGTGTAGAGTCTACATCAAATAAGAAATCATGGTTAGATTCCTTGGAGGAGCAAAACAGCTCATTGAAGGTAAGAACAACATACTCTGTTGTGTAACATTGTAATTAATACTTTGATTGTGCATTCTTAAAATTATCATCATATACACCCTCTGGTTGTCAGTAACTTAAACACTTTTCTTTGGTCTTTTTCGTGGTCAATTCCGTCTCTCTTTGCCTCTCCCGAGTCCTGACACATGGGTAAAGATTCCCATTCGATTACATAAGTTACCTTAATAATCATTTCATTTTTTCTTGTTTAAGTATTCGTCATGTGGAAGGACTACCGGTCGTCTACCGCTTTTCTGTTCAACCTTAAACTTGAGGACTTTTATGTTTTAAATAAGCAGTTTATACATGTCAAGAGCCATTAACATGGTTTGCATGATTCTATTTTCGCAATCAGATCCTGCTGTTCAGAGCTTACATCTTTTCTTCTTGACACATTATTAGCTCTTTTGGTATCTAGTGTAGTGCCAAAGAAACTGAGATAAATGTGAAACAGTGCAAGAAGAAAGATTTTACTGCCTGTTCTGCTGACCCTTGATTTTGATGCTCCACTTCATGGAAAGGAGAAAGCCACGTTTCAAATGATCTTTCGAAGAACTTGATTGAATCTTTTTCATGAAAGAATCTTCTTCCTACGGTGCAGGAACCTATTTATTGTTGAACATATGTTATGGGGAGGATATCAGCTAGAAATTTATTTGATAGCTTTAGATTAGTAGTGTATAGTGATCTCTTCTAAAGTGGAATTTTTGTAAGTGCAACTGCACTATCTGCTCAAGGTAGCTGTGTCTCGTGTACAGAATTTGCTGAAACTTATAGCACACCCTCGAGGATTATGTCAATATGTCTAGGCTTTAAGAAGTGAGATGTCCGTTAAATCTTCTCGAACTTATCTATAATTAATTATACTCTATGAAATCGACAAGATGAGTGAAATGCAGAAATTCATTATATTTTAATGGTTTGATTCACTTTAATAGCTTATAATGTTATACAAGTTTCAAAACATAACTCTCTTTAATTTCTTAACTTTCATTTTACTAGATATTGTTACTGTATGGCTGGAAAATGCATGATTTTCTCGTGTCTTGTGCATGGCAGAGTATACGATAAAATGTTGCCAAAATGCTGATCTTCCTTTTTCATTATTCAATTTATTAGGTCAAGAGATTGCTTTTAAATCTTTGGACTCTTAGGATTGGTTATTTCCTCCTTATTTACAGGATGTTCCATGGAAAGCATTTTTCCGAAGTCCAGCTATTTGGGCTATGATTTATGCTCATTTTTGTGGAAGCTGGGGGCACTATACTTGCCTATCATGGCTGCCTACTTACTTTAGGTAAGAACATTGTGGTAATATGATTACAAGGGGAACAAAACTGTTATCTATAGTTGCACGCTATATATATTCTGTTTAAACTATTTCTCTTATAGTCTTGAAATTTTGACTAGTTTGGAGAAACACTGCGTTTATCTGACGTTCCTCACAGAATGATACTCTTGAAATTTCTTAAGAGAAGTATAAATCATGTAAATGGATGCCTAGGAGACTGGGACAATTCATTTGACAAGTTGGTGTCTGCTTTGGTCATCTTTGTTTTCCATATGTTTAATGTGATAAAAGCATTGACATTAGTTTTCGTTTCTTGCAGTGAGGAACTAAATCTTAATTTGACTGAAGCTGCAGGGGTAAGCTTTAAATTCGGGTGCTGCACTCAACCCCCTTCTCTTTCCCTCTCCCCCCTTCCCCCTCTGTTTTCAAAAGTAGAAGGCCAAATTCAGATCAGGTGTGTCATCAATGTAATTGGCCTGAACCTGTCCTACCAATTACAAAGGAAAAAGATAACGTAACTATTTGACTCATAATATATTCCGTTACTCTATTCATAAAAGCCAAAAAAGGAGTTTTGTGCTTCTTACAAGGGAACCCAAATATGTCTTGTTTAACATCTCTGCAGTCAAAGTTATTCTTTTTCTTGTGGTGGTTGAAGTTGGATAATTTTTTACCGTTTATTTAGCTAAACCTCATGTCCTCGAATTGGACGTTTGAAAGACATGCATGTCCTGTTCTTAAACATTGCTGTATTGAATTGGGAAATGTCTCCCTTGAATATCCTATACTGAATGTTAAATCAAAAGCTTATGTCTTTTATACTTTCTGATTCAGGTTGCTGTACTTCCTCCATTGGCTTCAGTTATTACCACCAACCTTGCCGCACAATTTGCTGATAATTTGATTTCTCGTGGAGTTGAGACAACCACAGTAAGAAGTTCTTACATGGCCTAAATGCTTACATCCTGCTTGCAATCTAAACTTCTAATATGAGCAGTAAGCAGCTCTTCAACATTCATTGTAACAAGAGCAAAAACATGATCTAAAATCATGAATTCAACTAGAATGTAATTACTATTTGAAGTAAAAATTGCTCCCCCCGTCCTATAAACTTTTTCAGTTTTTTAGATGTCCCAGTCCCAAACATCAATGTCTCTCTCATTTTGCCAACCTTACCTATAAGGCTCTATCTCACTCTCTGTATAACATTGAAAGCTATCATACTTGAGCTAATATTAGGTACATTGACAGTACTTTGTCTGTCCTGATATTTCTTCACCGTCCCTTTTTCTGCCGTTCCTTAATCTCGTGTCACATCTTTGAGTTAAAGACTATCTTCTCTCGATCCTATCAACCCTTAAATCCTTCCATCCCTTTTTCTTTCTCTCTTTTTTTTTTCTTTCTCTCTCAGTTAGCTTTAAATCTTCTAATTGTTAGTACAGGAGTGCAATTTCGTATAGTTGTTTTCTTGGGCTATCCGCTATATCAAGCAGCCAAACATAATATGTAGCTTTTGTACTTATAAACTCCTTAATTTTGACCAGCTCTACGTTGGTTTCGATCTGTTGCTCACCTATGTATACTTTGCTTTCACATTGTCGTCTTTTTATCTAATGACTTGTTTTTGTACATGCAGGTAAGAAAGATTTGCCAAGCTATATCCTTTCTCTCCCCTGCTTTCTGCATGACTCTCTCCTCGTTAGATTTAGGGTTACCACCTTGGGAAGTTGTGGGGCTACTAACTGGTGGTTTAGCCCTCTCAAGTTTTGCTTTGTCCGGTAATTTGTTAAAAATTTGATTTTTTGTTGAATTTTGTTTGTTGAATTTTGAGCAAGTTTATCTTGGGAGAACACATGCTTAATCGCTTATGCCCCTATTTTGATGCAGGGCTCTATTGCACGCATCAAGATATTTCACGTGAATATGCAAGTGTGCTTCTGGTATGAATGATTGTTAGCAACCCCGTTTTTATAGACATGAATTAGTCTGAATCAAATTAGTGAGGATGCATGAAGGGGCTTTAATAATGCAGTCAGAATACTATATTTAAAAAAAAAAAAAAAAAAAAAAAAAAAAAACCTTGCACAGGATATATATTAAGAAAGGATTACTGCAATGATGAATGTTTTCTTGCTGTTTCTGAGGATGTTAAAGTCTATAGTTCAAATGATGCTTTCCCTTCTTGATCCTAGCTTGTTGACGTTAGTTTGTGCAAGAAATACTTTCCTGAGTCATTTAAATGTTCTCTTATCTTCTAATCACTGATGTTAATATAGGGTATAACGAATACTGTTGGGGCAGTACCGGGCATTGTTGGTGTGGCTCTCACGGGTTATCTACTCGATTCAACTCATTCATGGAGTGTATGCCCGTCATCATTACCTTTCATCAGTTGTTATTGTGCCATGACCTATGTTTTGCTTAGTTTTTATGTCATTCTATTTTGCAGATTGCACTATTCGCACCCTCGATCTTCTTCTACTTGACGGGCACTGTAGTTTGGTTGGCATTTGCGAGCAGCAAACCTCAAAATTTTTCCAAATTAGAGTAGACACCATTTAGCGAAATTCATTTCTTACTCTATTTTCACATTGTAAATGGCCTACATAATATTTCCTGTCTGTAATTATATGAAGGAATAGTATCTGAATTCTTTCACATAGGAGATAATCAGAAATGTATTGAATGTTTGAATGTACCAAAGCATTAATAATTACAAAGTAGAATTTTGATTAATACTAACTACATTTCCTTGAATGTGTGTTCCTAGTTGATTGTTTTTTAAACTGCCATTAACATGGGAGTAAATTTTGTACTAATGGTCTTTTCTGAAGAACTTTAAATTTCAAGGGTATATTGAGTACTTTTTATTATTATTATTATTATTTTTTATTATTTTTCTTTTTACAATCATATAACTAATATATAATTCAATTTGTAGGATAAAAAAGTTAGTTTAGTATTCTACTAGGTTAAGTCCCGTGCCATGCACAGTCTTAATAAAATTTTACAACAAATAAATTATAAATAATGGTGTAAATTCAACATTAATTTATCTAAAAAAATTATTTGTAACAAAATAACTTGAATTTTAGTTTATACCAACACCAAATACGTAAAGATTGGATTGTATAAAAAATATACATGTATGATATAACAGAGATTTTGTTCTTATAAATGTTATGTAATTTCAAGATTATACAAAGTATGCTACCAAACGATTTTTCTTTTTTAATTAAAATAAATTTTATTATCAAATGATAAAAGTTGGAGAAAAAAAATTGATGTTGATAATATTATGATAATCTTGAAAAATAATATATTACAATACCTTATTTTAATCTATGTTAATGTTTTTGTAGCTAAAAATTTCCTAGTTTATAAAATATATGTAAAATTTTTTTAGTATAATCAGATTAAATATATTGTTAAAATGGAAATAACTATTATGGCAATAAAAAAATAAATAAAAAAATAAAAAAAAAAGAAAGGAAAAAAGGCGGGAAATTTTGTAACCAGGAAATGACAAGTGTCATTCCAAGTATCGCCTTTAGTATAGGTTTATAGATAGATTTTTAATCAAATTTGGATAGAATGTTAGGATAAAATTGTTAATTTAGAGTTTTATTTTCGATAAAGTACTAATATTTTATATGTACAAATTGAATAATAATTTTAGTCAAAAATAATTAGATTATAACTCTCATAAATTATCATATAAATTTATTTTTTTGTATCATAATATTTTTTTTAGAAGTGAAGGAATTAGTTCAAAATGTACCACATCCATTATTTATATAGTAATATATTCTAATCAATTTAAATAACATACTTCACAATATGATATAATTTTATTACTGTGTGTAGACCTGTCAAACGGGTCGGGTCATGAGTCTTTTCGGACAGAGTCATTATTTCAGGTCACGGGTCAATAAATGTTTTTCCCCAATATTATTATTAGTCATTACATGCCTACTACATAGTTTAAATCGTCACAAAAACGTATCAATTCCTAAATAATTTTGTATCAATGATATATTTTAAAATTTGACATATAGATTAAAAATTCATCTTAAAATTCAATAAACAACCCGGACATTGCACTGGCACAAAACTAAGCTAGTTTATATTTATAATTATAACTAGGACTTATTTGGTTGACAAATAAATTCATGGGAATTTAGAATTCCTAGGAAATGAATATATGCACACTTGTTTGGTTGCCAATAATGTAGGAATTGGAACTTCCTAGGAAGTTCTACTTCCCACAAAAGAGTTAAGTACAAATTTGGGTACTAACATTTACAATTTTTCACCTTTTGGGTACTCCCACTTTTTTTTCACCGTTTGGGTACTCAAGTGTACAATCCGGTGATAAATTGAATACCTTGGGTTAAATAAGTTAGTACCTTAGGTTAAAGAATTTATTCCCCAAAAAATGTCAGTACCCTATTAACTGCACCCGACCATGATTGGATGGGGGCCTCTAGGGGACATACACGTGTCTACGGGGAAGAGAGAAATTCTGCTGCAAGTTACGTAAATTAGTGGTCCAAAGTTAAACCTTTCGTATTTCTGAAATTATATATATATATATATAATATATATATATATATATATATAATATATATATATATATATATATAATATATATATATATATATATATATATATATATATATATATATAACCCAAACATCATGTACTGGGTATTTAGTCCATTTAGGCGCCATTTTATCACATTTATTCTCAAATTCTCTGTTCTTCTTCTTCTGAATATTCTTCATCTTTGGTGGCTCCCAAATCTGGTAATTGTCCAAGAATTTCGCAAGAATACTGAGGTAAGCAACATACTCCATTACAATGCAAGTTTTTTTCTTCGAAAATGTATGTATTTTGATCTGGGTTGAAATAGGGTTTAGGGTTTTGATTTTTTTTTTTTTGAATTATGCAAATTTGTGTTGAATTTAGATGTTGGATGTGTTGGTAGTTGTGTACATTTAGGTTATGTGTATGTTGATTGTTTCAGTTGGTTGTCCTTAATCTCTATTATGAGTTGTGGTTAGGGTTTAGTTGAAACAGAGTGTTAGTGTTAGAAATTTAAAAAATTATGTTTGGTGATTGTAGGAGTTAAATGGACGGACTTGAGAATGCTCACCCTTTGCTACACCTTGATGTCCTCCGTTTTCATGTTTTCACAAGACTAGACGCAGTGTTAACAACCGCTGCCTCAAACACTTGTAGGAGGTGGAGGGAGATGAATTTCAACGGCTAGTTGAATATTTGCATCACACACTTTCAATTTTTGGAAATTTATTATTTTTTAAAAAAAATATTTGGAATATATTTATATGCATTTGAATATGTATGCTTAAATTAATGAAGGTACTCACTTATTTTTAACGTTTTCCAAGGAGGAGACTAACTTTTTTTGCCTAAAAACTGAAAGAGGGGACTCACTTTTGCTAAGGTGAGTTTATGTTGAGTTAATTGGCCTGAAACCTAACTAGAGGTCCCAAAAGGTGAAAAAAAAAGCGGGAGTACCCAAAAGGTGAAAAAATGAAAATGTTAGTACCCAACATTATACTTAACTCCCCACAAAATGGAGAGTGGAACTTCCCATGAGAAGTAGAAATTCCTACATCCAACCAAACAAGTTTTGGGAATTCCTAGGAATTATAACTTCATAGGAATTGAGATTTCATGGGAAATTCTACTTCCTACATCCAACCAAACAAGGCCCTAGATTACTTGTCCCTGACATCGTTATAGTTCATGTGTTGATTTCTCATAACAAAATTTCTCTCTAATAGTCTTAACTTTTTCCTTTCTTTATAAAGGTTAGGAAAGATCTGGGCTTGGCCCACTTTCTCACCAAAAAAAAATAAAAAAAAAAAATAAAAAAAATAAATAAAAAATAAAATAAAATAAAGTTTAGGAAAGAATGTCGTTATTTGTACATTTTCCTCAAAACTCTAATGTCAATTGACTAGCTAGTAGCTACTTTGAATTTCTTAAGGAATAGTCGATCTCTTTCCATTTTCCAAGTAATTTCATTTTTTCACTTTAAATTTTTATTTACTCCTTCCGTGTTTTAATAAGTGTTACACTTTAACTGGTACATAATTTTAGACAATTTAATTGACTTAAATAAAATAAGAGGTAAGTGAAATAGTAGGAGTATTAAAATATTGTAAAAGAAAGACAGTAGGGTTAATAATTTATGAAAAAGTAATGAATGTGAGAGGAGAGAAATAATAATAATAGTAATAATAATAATAATAATAAATAAATAAATAAATAAATAAATAAATAATTAATAATAATAATAATAATAATAATAATAATAATAATAATAACACTCCCTCGAAAGAAAGGGTTTTTCTCTCTGCTAGGGTAGGGTGTTTCTGCCGGATTTGACGGCTGTGTTTAGGGCTCTTGATTTCTCCGATCAGGGGCATGGAAGATGAATTGATCTCACGTTATGCGAACCTTAATCTTGAGGATGAGGAAAATAATGTTGTTGATTTAGGAGCGACTGATGCTCCTCCTATAGAAGAAAAATTTAATCTTTTATTGATTGGTAGAGTTATGACTGATAGACCATATAACGTTGATGCTTTTAAGACCACTATGACAAAATCATGGGCGTTATCGAATAAGATTGTGATTAGGGTTCTTGGCCCTAATTTATATGTGTTTCAACTATTCCATTGGCGTGAGAAGATCTTATCAGGAAGACCGTGGTGCTTTGACAATATGTTGCTTGTCCTTAAGGAGGTGGAAGGAGATGAGCAGCCGGAACGCATTGCGCTGTGCCACTCACCGTTCTGGGTTAGGATTAAATATCTACCTTTCAATTGTCGATCAGATGCTGCTGTGACTGAGATTGCTACGAATCTAGGCGAATTAATGGAAATTGAGGAAGACTTATTGGGGCTTGATCGGTTTAGGAGGGTTAAAGTCATGATTAATGTGAATAAGCCCCTGCGTAGATGCCAGAAAATCCGCGATAAGAGTGGAAGGGAAGTTCTTGTTGAATTTGCATATGAGAGATTGCCGTTCTTTTGCTTTGCGTGTGGTCGAATTGGTCACGCGGAGAGGGAATGTGTGATGGTGTCTGAAGAAAGCAAGAAGAATAAGCTCAGATGGGGGAGATGGTTGCGTGCTTCTCCGAGGAAGGGAAGAATGAAGGAATTAGAAGAGCTTGAGGCAGTGGTGTCTTCGAGGAAGCAACTCTTTGTGACTCGTGAGACAGAGAAGATTGAGGAATATTACTCGGATGCTGAAATTTTGGGTGACAATGCTTCTAAGCGCTTGAGTGAGGGTGCTAAGGGGGTTCACTCTTTGACTTTTGATGATAATGTGCAACGTGTTGAGGGAGGGGAGAGTTTTGAGTGTGCTGGTGACAGGACTGATCAGTCAAGAGACACGAATTTTCCCCTTAATTTTGTTATTGGTGCTCATGATGGTGGGAAGGATTTGGGAGTGAAAAGTGGGAAAAAGAGTTTGAGAGGGATAAAAGAAACTTCTATTGAGGTTATTGTGGGGGGTGGGTTTAATTTGCATGATGGGAGTGGAAGGCAGGGGAGGGAGGGGCTTTCAAATGCTGCTAGTACTAATGGGGAGGGTGTGAAGCTGCTGCCGCCCTCCCAGGCAGAGGCTAGTGGGGGCAGCAAGGGGTGGGTGGGAGATGAACGTAAGTGGAAAAGGGTGCCAAGAGGGGAGGGGCGTGGAAAGGGTACTTCTATGGATGTTGATAGCGATTTTATGATGGGAAAAAGGGGCCGTGAGAGTGATGAGCTAGATGTGGGAAGGAGTAAGAAAGTTTCGGTGAAGGACTCTATTTCTGGATGGCGGGAGGCGGAGGCTGTTGTTGAACAGCCCCGCCAAGCTCAATGAGTATCTTAAGCATTAACTGTAGAGGGTTGGGCAATATCTCTGCAGTTAATAACCTCCGGAACTTAGTACGGAGGGAGGCCCCGTCTTTGGTTTTTCTAACAGAGACGAAACTGAGTAGTGGTGAAATGATGAAGATGCGTTCGAAGCTTGTAGATTATGATGGGTTGGCGGTTGATAGTAGGGGCCGGTTAGGGGGTGTTGCGTTGTTTTAGCTTAAGGGTATTGAAGTAGAGATGAATTCGATGTCTCTCCATCATATTGATGTTACTGTGAAGAAAGGGCTTGGCTCGACGGCATGGCGTCTCACTGGTTTTTATGGGTGGCCGGAGGTTCATAATCGTCATTTGTCATGGAAATTATTAAATGATCTCTATACTGGGGGGATTAGGGAGTGGGTTTGTTTGGGTGATTTTAATGAGATTTTGGCAGATTCGGAGAAGAAAGGGGGTCGGGATAGGGCTCTATGGCAAATGCAACATTTTCGTGAAGTGGTGGATTTATGTAATTTGCAAGATATTCCTTTTACGGGGTATGAATTTACTTTCGACAATGGTCAATTTGGTGATGATAATGTGCAATGTCGATTGGATAGGGCTCTTGCTTTACAAGAATGGTTAGATGTTTTTCCTAATGCCAAGCTTGTTCATTTGGAGAGAGAGTGGTCGGACCACGCTCCTATCAAACTTTTGTTGGGGTTGGATGGTCAGTCGAATGCTAAGGGGAAGAGGTTGTTTCGGTTTGAACATATATGGACCGAAAGTGAAAAGTGTGAGGAGGTGGTGGAACAAGGGTGGCTGTATGGGGGTGACTCGGTTGGGAATAAATTGGGGCTGTGTGCTGAATTACTATCTTCATGGAGTGACAAGGAGTATGAGCAAATTTTCAGAGAGATCTGTAGGAAGAGAAAGTGGCTGAGTGCTTTAAATCGGGGCAGCAGGTCTGAAGCTCGTGTGAAGGAGAGGCGTAAGGTGGTGAAAGACATTGCGGAGCTGCTGCATTTCGAGGAGATGTACTGGAGGCAGCGCCCTAGAGCGCTTTGGTTGACTCAGGGGGATCGAAATTCGACATTTTTCCACCGAAAGGCGTCTCAACGCACGCAGGGCCAAGAATACAATCTCAGCTTTGATGGACGATGATGGGGTCAGGTTCGAAGATCATGAAGGGGTAAGCAATGTTGCTGTGAGCTATTTTAAGAATCTTTTTACCTCGTCAAATCCGGTCAATTACGAGGATGCATTAGATGGGATTGAGAGGAGAGTTTCAGTCAGGATGAATGATACTCTTTTGGCAGATTTTTCGGCGGATGAGGTGTTTATTGCTCTTAAACAAATGCATCCATTGAAGGCTCCGGGTCCTGATGGTATGTGTCCCCTATTTTTCCAGACTTATTGGCATATTGTAGGTCCTGCTGTGACTAATTTGGTTATTGGGGTGTTAAAGGGTAATGCTATTCCCGATACTATTAATAAAACCTTTATTGTGTTAATCCCGAAGAAAAAAGAACCTGATAAAATGATTGATTAGACCGATTAGCCTTTGCAGTGTGGTGTATAAGTTGATTACTAAGGTGCTTGCTAATCGGCTGAAATCTTTTCTGTCGGATATTACCTCAATTAATCAAAGTGCCTTCACTACGGGTAGATTGATTACTGATAATATTTTGGTGGCTTTTGAGGTTTTTCACCATATGAAAAATTCGATGAGTGATAGTGGTCATCTTGCTTTGACATTGGATATGGCGAAGGCTTATGATAGAGTGGAGTGGGGTTTTCTGAGAGTGGTGATGAGTAGGTTTGGTTTTGCAGATGTATGGGTTGATCGGGTAATGCATTGTGTCTCCTCTGTCACTTTTTCAGTTCTTATTAATGGGGCACCTTCGGGGGAGTTTGTTCCTGGACGGGGCTTACGACAAGGTGATCCTCTATCCCCATATTTATTTATTTATTTTGTGTGCGGAGGCATTATCCGGATTACTTCGAAGAGCTGTGGAACAAGGTAGTCTTCATGGTATCAAGATTGCGACAACGACCCCTCCTATCTCTCATTTGTTGTTTGCGGATGACAATATTATTTTCTCTAGAGCTAATGTTGATGAGGTTGAGAAGATAAAAAATGTGTTGAAGGTGTATGAAGAGGCGTCGGGTCAAATGGTTAATCTTGGGAAAACGACGGTGTCTTTTAGCAAAGGGGTGCCGGAGGATCGGAAGGGTGCTTTAGCGGATGCCCTTGGTGTTAATGTAGTTGATATTCACGATAAATATCTTGGTTTACCCACAGTTATTGGGAGATCGAAGAGAGTCCTTACTAAGGGGATTCGTGAGAAATTATGTAAGAGACTACAAGGGTGGAAGGGGGGAATTTTATCTAAAGCGGGTCGGGAGGTCTTGATAAAGGCAGTGGCCCAATCTATCCCGACCTACGCGATGAGTGTGTTTAAATTCCCCTCCTCGTTTTGTGATGAATTGCGTTCTTTGGTGGCTAATTTTTGGTGGGGACAACGAAATGGGGAGCGAAAGATTCATTGGATAGCTTGGAAGAGGCTCTGTGAACCGAAGGCGGCGGGTGGCTTGGGATTTCGTGACTTCAAATTGTTTAATGAGGCTCTCTTAGGTAAGCAAGCTTGGCGCCTTATTCAGTTTCCGGACAGCTTGGTGGCAAAGGTTTTAAAGGCTAAATATTACCCAAATGGTGATTTCATGTCGTCAGAGCTTGGTGCTACACCAAGTTACTCTTGGCGTGGGATTTGGGGGTCTAAATGGGTAATTAATCGTGGAGCTAGGTGGAGAGTTGGTGACGGGCTGGACATTTTGGTGTGGAAAAGTCCCTGGATTCCGGGTACAAGCTCTAGGAAAGTAGTATCACCTCGGGGTGAAGCTTCGGAGGATATGCGGGTTTGTGATTTGTTGCAACTTGCGGCGGCTCAATGGAATGTCCCTTTAATTGACAAGCTATTTCTCCCTTTTGAGAGAGATAGAATTTTGAGCATTCCGGTGAGTTTCCGTCTCCCTCGTGATAGAATGTGTTGGGATCTTGAAAGAGATGGGGTGTACTCGGTGAGGTCCGCGTATCGAGCTATTTTTGGTGATGTTGGGGTGGAGGGGGTTGCTTCTTCTTCAAGTCCAACTTCAATTTGGAAGAAGGTATGGCACGCTTCTACTCTCCCTAGAGTTAAAATTTTCTTTTGGAGGGCTTGTCTTGGGGCATTACCAACAGCTAAGGGGTTGCATCGGAGAGTGCCTAGAATTTCTCCTTTATGCTCGATTTGTGGCGTGGAGGAGGAGACTGAAATGCATTGCTTGAGGGACTGTTTTATTGCGAGGTCGATTTGGGAGAAGTGCGAACTTGATTGGAGAGGTGGTGGAGCTGCTCAAAGCTTTGGTGAGGTGGCTTTGTCACGTTTGGATGGGCTGCCAAGTAAGGAGCATGGATGGTTTATAACCATCTGTTGGGTAGTGTGGACAGCAAGGAATAGGTGGGCGTTTGAAAGGGAAGCTTGCAATGCGAAGGGGTCGATAGAATATGTCACAAAGCTCATGAAGGATTTGCAGGGGGAGGAAGCTGTTTCGGTGAGGGGTGGAAAAGCATCAAAGCAATGATGGAAACCTCCTAGGAGAGGGAGGTTTAAGCTTAATGTTGATGCTGGCTCGTTGGAAGGGGTGGGTTCGTGTGTTGGTGCGGTGGTGAGGGATGAGAACGGGGAGGCAAAATTGGCTGTTGCGTGGGGGATGAGAGAGACATGGCAACCAAACATTGCCGAGGCGAAAGCTATTCTGTTGGGGATGCGTGTGGCTGCTGACTATGGCTTTAGAGAGGTGGAGGTGGAAAACGATTGTCTCGGATTGGTGAATGCAATTCTTGCAAAGGAGAGAGGAAGTAGCTCTTTGCATATTGTTCTTGATGATATTTTTCATGTTGCTAATTCTTTTGATTTTATTTCTTGGTCTTTCATTAGTAGGGAATGTAATAAGGTGGCACATGAGCTTGCTCATTTGCCTCCATGGTCAAGTGAGTGTCGTGTTTGGGAATCGAACTTCCCAAGTCCTATTGTAACTCTTTTGAATGCTGATTCTGCCATGAATGAATGATTTTCCCGGCTGAGGGGCTTGGTTCAATAATATATAATAATAATAATAATAATAATAATAATAATCATAATAATAATAATAATAATAATAATAATAATAATAATAATAATAATAATAATAATAATAATAATAATAAGTAGTAATGTATTTGAGTGGAGACCATGAGATGAGAGAGATGTAATATTAAAATGTAGTTTTTTTTTTTGCCAACAAGGAAGTGTACATTTAGTAACTGCAACACTTATTAATATTTAATACACGGAGGGATTAAAAAAAAGCCTACCTTTTTCATCCTTGAAATGACTAATATGTACAATACTTAATTTTGATTGACTAATAAGTATTAGACTATGTTTATATTTGTACATTTCCTAGGTTCTCTCACCTAACTATGTTCACTCCCCCTAACCATTATTGTATTTATGAGGTTAACTCCTCATTTCCCTAGACTAGTTTGTAATTTGTATATTTATACTCTTTCCAATAATGAGAAGCTCAAGGGATTATTTCCTATATGGTATCAGGCTAGTTTCTTCTCTCTCTAGCTTCTCTCTCCTCTTCTCTATCTCTAGCCGCCCACTGCTCACCATGGGAGACTCACCGCAAGCTCCAAAAACTACCCCTCTTCATCCCGTTTTCACCGTTAATAACATCAAGAGTGTTATCCCTATTACTCTGCAGATGGATCGTGCCCAATACATATCTTGGGTCGAACTTTTCAAGATCAATGCCCGTGCTCACCTTGTTCTCGAGCATATCCTTCCCTCCCCGGACGATCCTCCTTCTCTTGCAACCACCGACCCTGAGCTGTGGAGCCGCCTCGACGCCATTGTTCTTTAATGGATATATAGTACAATCTCCAATGACCTCCTCAACACTATCCTTGAACCCGACTCTTCCGCTGCGGAGGCGTGGAAAAGATTGAAAGATGTCTTTCAAGACAATCAAACTAATCGAGCCGTTCAACTCGAATCTGAATTTGCCCAAGTCGATTTGAACAATTTCCCCAATGTTTCTGCCTATTGTCAACATGTTAAAATGCTCGCGGATCAACTCGCGAACGTTGGTGCCAAAGTCTCTGACCCTCGTATGGTTATTACTCTTGTTCGTGGGCTTCCTAAAGCCTATGATAATGTTTCCACTCTGCTTCAACAAGCCGACCCCCCCGTCTCCTTCCAAAAAGCTCGCTCGATGCTCACTCTAGAAGAATCCCGCCAAGCCACTCAAGCCTCGAACGAAGCACAAGCCTCCGGCGCCACTCTTATTGCTTCGGGAAACTCCTCCCAAAATCATGACCATCATTCTCACCATGAAAATCGAAATCCTCAAAAACAGGGCACCACCCGCGGCGGTGGTCGCGGTGGCCACGGGAAGGGCCGTACTGGCAGCGACGGGCGCGACGGCAAAGGCCGTGGTGGTCGCGGGTCCGGTCAGCAACACCACCAGCAACAATTCTCTCCCTCCCCGCCGTGGAACAATGCTCAAGCAAATTGGCAGTATGCTCCATGGGCTGCTTGGGCTCCTCCACCGTGGGTCGTCCCTCCTTGCCCCTATCCAACCAATTCATGGGCTAGACCTCCAACTGGGCAGCGGGCTAATCAGAATGGGATTCTTGGGCCAAGACCTCAACACACTCAACACGCTTTCACTGCCAATGCTCCTCCTTCCGTGGGTTATGCTCCAACCGATGTGGAATCCGCACTTCACACTCTTTCTTTGCATCAACCCGACGATAATTGGTACATGGATACCGGAGCGACTTCTCACATGACCTCCAATCAAGGTACTCTCTCGTCTTATTTTAATTTGAGCAATCATCATAATATTATCGTTGGTAATGGTAGTGGCATTCCAATTCATGGTCATGGTCAAGCCTCCCTCCCTCCATTCACTCTAAATAATGTCTTGCATGCTCCTAACCTAATTAAAAATCTGATTTTTGTCCGAAAATTAACTAGTGATAATTTTGTGTCAATTGAATTTGATCCGTTTGGTTTTTCTGTGAAGGACCTTCGGACGGGGACCACCCGTATGAGATGTGATAGCTCGGGGGAGCTATATCCTTTCACCTCCACCGCCTCTCTTGCCTCAAATCCTACCGCCCTCGCTGCCTTCCCCTCCACCTTATGGCACGCCCGCCTAGGCCATCCCGGGACATCAATTTTGAGTTCTCTTAAGAAGAAAAATTTTATTGAATGTAATAGGGTTGTGAATTCTACTGTTTGTTCTTCTTGTGTTTTGGGAAAGCATGTAAAACTTCCGTTTTATTCGTCCACTACTAGTACTTCTTTGCCTTTTGACATTTTGCATAGTGAGATTTGGACATTTCCTAAACTAAGTAGTGCATGACATCGTTATTATGTGTTATTTTTGGATGATTTTACAAATTTTCTATGGACCTTCCCAATTGCAAGAAAATCCCAAGTGTACTCCCTATTCCTTCAAATCAATTCTTATGCTAATACTCAATTTGAACGCCATGTTAAATGTTTTCAATGTGATAATGGTGGAGAATATGACAATGATTCTTTTCGTAATTTTTGTGTCTCCAATGGTATGGTGTTCCGTTTCTCGTGCCCCCACACCTCTCCTCAAAATGGAAAAGCCGAAAGAAAAATTCGTACTATCAACAATATGATACGTACTCTTCTTGCTCACTCATCCATGCCCCCCTCCTTTTGGCATCATGCCCTCCAAATGGCGACATATCTCCATAACATCCTTCCCACAAAAGTCTTAGCCTATGATTCTCCCACAAAAATTCTCTATCACAAAGATCCCTCTTACTCTCATCTTCGGGTTTTTGGGTGCCTATGCTACCCCCTCCTTCCCTCCACTACAATTAATAAACTCCAAGCCCGTTCTACTCCTTGTGTTTTCTTAGGCTATCCTCCCAATCATCGCGGTTACAAATGTTACGACATCTCAAACCGCAAAATCATCATCTCTCGCCACGTCATTTTTGATGAAACACAATTTCCATTTGCCAACATTCACACCCCAACTCCAACCACTTACGATTTCCTTGATGATGGACTCCCTCCTGCCTTACTCCATCAAATTCACTCACAGCCCACTCATCAGGCCCACACGCCTCCTCCACCTCTCACTCCCACGGCCCAAACACAGCAGGCCCAACCAAACCACTCCCCTCAAATTCCCTCAGCTAATCGATCCCCTCATACCAACCAACTGGGCCCCCTCTCTCCACGGCCCATCAGCACACCAAACATCAACTCCCCTCATCAGACCCCAATTCCCACGGCCCAGTCCAGCAGGCCGTCTCCTCCCCCCACCTTGGGCCAACGCCCAAACAGACCCCCCCTCCTCCCTTAACTATTCGGACTCGTAGCTCTCATGGGATTCACAAGCCCAAGCAAATTTTCGATCTAAATTGTCAGTCCACTCCTTCACCTCTTCCAAAAAATCCCATTGCCGCTCTTTCTGACCCGAATTGGAAAAATGCCATGATGAACGAATTTGATGCTCTAATTAAAAATAAGACGTGGGAGTTGGTGCCCCGTCCTTCTCATGTAAATGTCATTCCTTGTATGTGGCTCTTTAAACATAAAAAGGATGCTAATGGAGTTTTTGAGAGGCACAAAGCCCGTCTTGTTGTTAATGGCAGGAACCAATAGGTTGGGATCAATTGTGAAGAGACATTTAGTCCGGTGGTCAAACCGGCTTCTATTCGGACTGTTCTTAGCATTGTTCTCTCCAAGTCTTGGTCCATTCATCAAATGGATGTCAAAAATGCTTTCTTGAATGGTGATATTTCTGAGACAGTTTATATGCACCAACCTCCGGGTTTCCGTGACAAAGACAAACCGGGACATGTATGTCTCCTAAAGAGGGCTTTATATGGGCTTAAGCAAGCCCCATGGGCTTGGTATCATCGGTTTGCAACTTTTGTGGCCACTATTGGTTTTTCTCACAGCAAATCAGATAACTCTCTTTTCATCTACTCTCGTGGCAAGGATGTGGCTTACATTCTTCTCTATGTCGATGGCATTGTCCTCACAGCTTCATCCGATGCTCTTCGGCTTTCCATCATGGGTAAACTTAGTTCTGAATTTGCAATGACTGATCTTGGTCCTTTGCAATCTTTTCTTGGCATTTCAGTGACACGTCATCTAGGGGGTATGTTCTTGTCCCAACAGTCATATGCTAAGGATATTATCGCTCGTGCCAACATGTCCTCATGCAAACCTTCGGCCACTCCCGTCGACACCAAGGCCAAGCTAAGTTCCACTTCCGGCCCGCCCATTGAAGACCCCACCTTATATCGTAGTCTTGTCGGAGCACTTCAATACCTCACTTTTACCCGACCGGACATTTCGTACGCCGTGCAACAAATATGTTTATACATGCATGACCCACGGCAGGAACACATGCATGCTGTTCGAAGGATTTTGCGGTACCTTCAAGGTACCTTATCTCACGGCCTTCACCTCTACTCTTCTCCCACATCGAGTTTAATCTCCTACTCTGACGTGGATTGGGGGGGCTGCCCCGATACACGCCGATCAACTTCAGGCTATTGTGTTTTTCTCGGCGATAACTTGATCTCATGGTCCGCTAAAAGACAACCCACCATCTCTAAATCAAGTGCGGAGGCCGAGTATCGTGGTGTTGCCAATGTTGTAGCCGAATCTTGTTGGCTACGCAATTTACTACTCGAACTTCATTGCCCCATCAACAAGGCTACGGTTGTATATTGTGACAATGTTAGTGCGGTTTACCTCTCCGGCAACCCGGTTCAACATCAACGAACCAAGCACATAGAAATGGACATCCACTTTGTTCGAGAAAAGGTCGCTCTTGGTCAAGTTCGTGTGCTTCATGTTCCTTCGCGATATCAAATCGCGGACATCTTCACCAAGGGTCTACCGCAACTCCTCTTCGACGACTTTAGAAACAATCTTGGCGTTCACAAACCTCCCGCTTAGACTGCGGGGGTGTATTAGACTATGTTTATATTTGTACATTTCCTAGGTTCTCTCACCTAACTATGTTCACTCCCCCTAACCATTATTGTATTTATGAGGTTAACTCCTCATTTCCCTAGATTAGTTTGTAATTTGTATATTTATACTCTTTCCAATAATGAGAAGCTCAAGGGATTATTTCCTATAATAAGTGTTTGAAAACAACAAATTAGAATTATGATAGTTTGTATTAACAAATTTAACACACCTAAATATATATCCTAAGTCACTATAGAAACTACTTAATTACATCCGTTAGTATGTAACATGAATCATCTCCATTAGCCGAATTCAAAGCTGGATTATCACATTCAAGTTACTCAAATGCCTCCTTTTGCACTCCATTGTGTACGACATATATCGTACCAACAATACAAACGCAATGTCGTGCAAGAACATAACGTCTCTTCTTATCACACCATCTCTCAAGCATCTTCCCTTCTCCAGCGAATACTCTTCAAGATGCAAGCATGTATTCGTCTGTCGGGTGAAATGTCTCCAAAATTGGACCAGATTTACGGAGGTAGTTGATAGGCTTCTTTAACTCGTTAACAGACGATGGGGTCATAATTCAAATAATCGACCAAATCAAATGACTATTAAAAATACAATAAATAATATTATAAAATCATAAAATTTTAAATAAAGAAATTATCCCAATGAATTAAAAAAAAAAGTATACATAATGAATTACGGCACCCGCGGCAATTTCATCAGGAATATCTAGTACATCCTTAATCCCAGCTAAACTGATGAAATGTATGGAAATGGGATTCAAATTAGCCTTCCACTCCATGATTTTCATTTTGTTTTAATTCCTTTATTATCTGTGCCAATTCAAAAGATAACATATCATCATTTTAACATAATCATAATTAAGGCAATAAACTTATGACATAAACATATTCAAGTCTAAGGAAGAACACTTTACCTCTAATATATCACCAACATTGATAAATAAAGCATCAGGAACAATTGGAACTTTGAACCACTGATCATCTTTCAGAACTTGAAGGCCTTCCACCTCGAACAACTGTGAAAGTTACTCCATCAGCATGTGGTTTGATACCGAGAATACTTTCAGGTGTCGGACATGGTGGATAGAAATTGAACCTTGTGAACATTGTCACCGAGTCTCCATGCTCTTTCAAGAAGCAGTTGTCGTCATCCAAATTCAAGGATCGTGCCATAGCCTTCATAAGAAGGTCAAATATCACCCTAAGATTCGACGTTGATCTTCAGGGTTAACTGTAAGGTAAAGTCGATCCATCCAATCGAGTGTCTGCTGCTTCGATACAACTTCATCATTTCCATACCCATTCCAATCATCGATATCTCTAGAGTACTTTTGCTTCTCCTCAAGAGGAAGTGCAAAAAATTGCTTGCCAACTTCACGGACTTTGTCATGCCATGATTTATGGCCTGAGAGAACAATTATCACTTCTTTACACTCTACATCAGCTTCAATAATATAGCACCAACATAAATACCTAAAAGTTTACTCTTCTCTAGAATACTACGGAGTATTTCCTAAACAGATAAAACTAATTACGAAAATTCATACCTGGAAACAACCCCATTGACTGAGAGCTGATCGAAGCTTTCCTAATTCATGATCATATTCAGGAGAAGAAGGAGAAAACACGAGAGAAAGATCAATGACAAAATCATCCATGTATGAAACAGAGTCAACTTTTGATTGTGGGAATCCTTCTTTATGAATAAACTGTTCTGGGATTTCACCATTACAGCTTAGAGCTATTTCTTGAACCACCTTTGATTGCAACACTTCTTCCATAGTTATGTTTATGCTATGATCTGCAATCTTCTGCTTAAATAATCTTTTGCAGAAGCTTTCATAGAGGATAAGATCAACCAATCATTGTTAATCAAAATGAAAAAAGTACTCCAATAATAGCAGATGTGCTGCTGTTTTGGTATTCCTTATCATAGATCAATATTTTCGATAATGATGATCATTAAGATATACAAGTTTTCTATTAATAAGATTTTTAAAAAGTTGATATGTTGAAAAAGACTAATTCAAAATATTGGCGCCTTATCTGCTCCATTTATCTTTTTGTTAAGGATATAATCATGTAATAGGAAGAATATTCAAGGGATTAATCTATACACAATATAATTAGAATCAAGGTTGGTTAATGGTTGAAGGCCCTCCTTCAACCCTTGTGAGAGTGTTTGAAGTCACAATAAAAATCGATAAGCAAATACTAAAATGTCTCCTCAAAGCCCCAATCAAGAAGAAAAAGGAAAAGTTTTCAAGCATAGAAATCACAAAGCGAGGTTTTCTGCAAAAAATCATATAGAGTACGTGATAAAATCTCAAGAGATGTTATCAAAAAAAATAAAAAATAAAAAAAAAAATCTCAAGAGATCAACCAAAATACACACGTTTAGCTACACAGTATCAGATTCTAACAGCATGAAGTGGTCTCTTCCCTAATTGATAGTTCTCGAAGAATATGTTTTCGTAATGCTTCACTCTTTAGTACATCTGAGGTCTGTCATCTGTGACTAGTCCTGCTAACTGTCCAACCACCCTATCAGGGTCTGAGAAACTGAACACTGCCACCGAGATTCTCTCTCTTTCCGAGTTTATGACCACCCTATGCACCGGACTTTTCAGTATTCCATTACTCATTATCTGTTCTGAATAGATTGATTGATAAGAATATTATAAGGCCTCTATTTATAGGGTTGAATTCAACCTTGAAAATATTTGGTGTAAATGAGCAATCTTATGTCTACTTTTTTTAGCACAAGTATAGGCAGATCATCAATTTTTGAGAAGAAGTTAATACATTCTATTTAAAAGATAATGATCTCCCTTCAAAATTGATTCAGCAAACTCAAATTTATCATTTCACCTTAAAAAATAGAGGCAATTATTACAAAGATTTAAAAAGAACAAAAAGAAACCGAAAAGAGAGTTTCAGATGATCATCCAATTCAGATTAGAAACACTCATTCTAGTAGTACAATATTACATTCTTACAGCATGTAGCGGTCTCTTTCCATTTTGGTAGTTCTCAAAGAAGATCTTTTCATAATGTCGCACTCTCTTATACATTTGGGGCCTGTCCTGTGTAATTAGTTCAGCAATCGGTCCAATTTCCCTATCAAAGTCTGAGAAGCAGAACACGATTACTGATATTTTTTTCTTTTTCTGAGTTCGTGACCACCCGGTGCACTGGACTTTTCAGTATACCATTACTCATTATCTGTGCCAATTCAAAAAATAACATATCATCATTTTAACATAATCAATCAAGACAATAAACTTATGACATAAACATGTCCATGTCCACGCGTTGCACAGTCCTATACTAGTCACATTTTATAAAATCGACTAATCATATACTTCTATTTACCTCCAATCTAAACTTCCCGGCTTGAAACAAGATTCTTCTATGACATATTCAAGTCTAAGGAAGAACATTTTACCTCTAACATATCACCAACATTGATAAATAAAGCATCAGGAACAATTGGAACTTTGAACCACTGATCATCTTTCAGAACTTGAAGGCCTTCCACCTCCTTGTCTTGCAAAAGAACTGTGAAAGTTACTCCATCAGCATGTGGTTTGACACCGAGAACACTTTCAGGTGTCGGACATGGTGGATAGAAATTGAACCTTGCGAACATTGTCACCATATCTCCATGTTCTTTCAAGAAGCAGTTGTCATCCAAATTCAAGGATCGTGCCATAGCCTTCATAAGAAGGTCAAATATCACTCTAAGCTTCAATGTATATTCATGTATAATCTCCCTGCCAAAGTTCACACAAATGAAACTCAAAGGCTAGACAAATTCAACTTACGAGTAGAGGTCAAGTCTACTTAGATCATTCACCTAACCTAGAGGAAAAATATTACGAGTAAAAAACAGATATTAAAGACGTACCTAAATGCAACCGGCTTCTCAGGCCAATATTTTAGCTTTCTTTGATTTTCAGGGTTAACTGTAAGGTAAAGTCGATCCATCCAATCGAGAGTCTGCTGCTTCGATACAACTGCATCATTTCCATACCCATCCCAATCATCAATACCTCTAGAATACTTTTGTTTCTCCTCAAGAGGGAGTGCAAAAAATTGCTTGCCAACTTCACGGATTTTGTCAAGGAAATCATTGGTCATGCCATGATTTACGGCCTGAGAAAACAATTATCACTTCTTAACAAAGCATTTTTTTTTCTTTTTGAAATCATTCTATTAATTTTTTTTATTCACAATAGAAAAAAACCAAAATAATTGTGAGAAATATAAACTTATACCCTTCACATGTCCAAATCAACTTGAGTACATCAGCTTCAATAATAAGCACCAAAATAAATCTAACATGCTTAACAGACAAAACTAATTAAGAAAAATCATACCTGGAAACAACCCCATTGACTGAGAGATGATCGAAGCTTTCCTAATTCATGATCAGATTCAGGAGAAGAAGGAGAAAACACGAGAGAAAAATCGATGACAAAATCATCCATGTATGAAACAGAGTCAACTTTCGATTGTGGGAATCCATCTTTATGAATAAACTGTTCTGGGATTTCACCATTACAGCTTAGAGCTATTTCTTGAACCGGCTTTGATTGCAACACTTCCTCCATAGTTATGTTTATGCTATGATCTGCAATCTTCTGCTTGAATTATCTTTAGCAGAAACTTTCATAGAGGATAAGATCAACCGATCTTTGTTAGTCAAAATGAATAAAGTACTCCAATTGTAGCAGATTATTTTATTATTGCAATGAGTCTATTTTTTGTCATAGAGCAATCTTTTGGATAATGATGCTCGTTAAGATGTATTTTTGACCATTAAAATTTTTAATACAAGTATTTTATTAATAAGATTTTTCAAAAGTTCATATATTGAAAAATCACTTTAAGTTCATATAGCCGACCCCACTTATTGATTAAGGCTTGATTGATTGATAT